CGGCGCAGGGCCCGGGTGGGGTAGCAGTCGAAGAGCAGGCAGGAGTCGCTGCCCGCCGGCCGGTAATGGTTCTCCTGGGGTGACACAATTTGGGGGATGTCACGGTCCCCTGGGGCCACCCCGGGCACGGGGCGCTGGGGACGGGGACGCACCTTGCAGCGACACTCGCCCGTCGTCTTGTTGCAGTCGGGGTCGAAGCCCTTGGTGACATCGCAGCTGCAGGGGCCACAAGTGGGGTGGCCCCACCACCCTCGGGGACATGGCTGGGCCTCCCTGCCGGGGTGGCACCGCACGCTGGGGCACTGCCACCCTGCCCGTCCCATGCCCACCCCGTCCCTTGCGTGGTCACCGTGCCACCCTCGCACGCTGACAAGGAGGGACGGGGCGCGCGCGAGCGCGACGGGCGCCCGGACGGGCGTGACAGTGACAAGGGGGTGGCAGTGCCCTGGGCACAGTGATGGAGCTGGCAGTGCCTAGAGAGGGTGGCAGTGCCTTGGGGACAACGATAGGGGTGGCAGTGCCCTGGGGACAGTGACTGGGGGGCAGTGCCCTGGGCACAGTGACAGAGAGGGTGGCAGTGGCCAGGGAGGGTGGCAGTGCCCGGGTGACAGTGACAAGGGGGTGGCAGTGCCCTGGGCACAGTGATGGAGCTGGCAGTGCCTAGAGAGGGTGGCAGTGCCTTGGGGACAACGATAGGGGTGGCAGTGCCCTGGGGACAGTGACTGGGGGGCAGTGCCCTGGGCACAGTGACAGAGAGGGTGGCAGTGGCCAGGGAGGGTGGCAGTGCCCGGGTGACAGTGACACGGTAGGCAGTACGCAGGTGACCGTGACAATGGTGGCAGTGCCCAGGCAAGGTGGCAGTGCCTTGGGGACAATGATAGGGGTGGCAATGCCCTGGGGACAGTGGCAGGGAGGGTGTCAGTGCCCTGGGGACAGTGATGGGGTGTCAGTGCCCAGGTGACAGTGACAAGGGGGTGGCAGTGCCCTGGGAAGAGTGATGGAGCTGGCAGTGCCTAGGGAGGGTGGCAGTGCCCTGGGGACAGTGATGGGGGGCAGTGCCCTGGGGACAGTGCCAGGGAGGGTGGCAGTGCCCAGGTGGCAGTGATAGGGGGGTGGCAGTGCTCTCGGGACAGTGCCAAGGGGGTGGGAGCGCCCAGAGAACGC